TATGCATGAAGTACTGTTTATTGATGCATATTATTTAAAATTCAATATTATAGGTAAATTGTGCGTAAGTACGACTTATTAAAGCTATATTTTTGAATTCGTGTAACTAGTTGCAGATAAACATAGTCAAATACAAGATAAACATCTCATTTTAAATATAAGAAATTAAAATATAATTAGGATAATCATTGAGTTTTAACAAAATACTTAATTATCATCCTTATAAAAATTGTATTATTAAAACAAAAATAAATTACTTTGTTATTAAATCTAAATTAAGCTATAATAAAATTTCGAATTAAAGAAGTTACACAAAAAAAAAAAAACGAAAACTTTTAAATAATTAATTTAATTTTTTTTCAAATTTATATTTCATTCAAAAATAAAAATATTATCGTTTTCTAATAACCACATAAAACCATATTATATCGACATGAAAAATGAATAAAATGAAACATTAAAAATCGAAATATATCTCGTTACATTGTACGAGTACCCTTTTAATATGATTAAAATACAATTTATATGATAAAGTGTCGGTTGAGAAATCTTAAAAGTAATTATAGTAGGTGATAATTTCTATCTAAGTGCAATTTTAGAAATTGCATTGTAATAAATGATCAGAAACAACGATAATAAAAATTATCGAACCTTAATCCTCTTAAAAAAAAACAGGATATAAATTTTATCTGATTAACTTGACTGTAAAGTTTCATATAAAACTTGATGCACAAGCTATAAAAAATACAAGATAATCCAATTTTTAGCATGTAAAGTCAAAACTAATGTCTAAAACTTGCAAGACAAGTTACTTGGGTCAAATATAAATTTTATTCTGTTAAGACGCGCTTGATACATTAAACAGGTTCGAATAGAACATAGAGCATTAATATTTTATTTGTTCGTATTAGGTTTTAATTTAAAATTTCTAGTGTCACTATATGATTAGTAAATTGAGTTATACATTAAACATGGTTTAACTTAGGGGCCGTTTACTAAACCCTTATCTGGTAAGTGTTTACTGGGTAATTTTCCTTATCTGATGAACATAACAAGGGTCAAAAATCTTACCTGGTAAGAGCAATGATAAAGATGGAGAGTCTTACTCGGTAAGTGAGGGTATCGGCTCTTATCCGGGTAAGTGCTTACTGGATTTGTCTAAATTAAAGTAATTGAACATGCATTCAAATGCCTTTGATCCTTCCAACCCAACCTAAATCTAAAAGATAAAAGTCTTGTACGTTTTTAATTAGATTTACTACCTCAAGTCTCCAATCCTTCACACCTCGTCCTCTCATGAATCTAAATTCTCTCGTATTTTTTTCATCTTCAATCCTCGTCTCATCTCGTCAGACACTAATATCTGTTTTTTTGTATGCAATTGATTTAAATATCCTATTCTGATATTGCAACTGATATTATTTTATGAACTCAAATAACCGTTAACTGAACAACATGTAACTGTCTTATTTTGTTTCAGTTCAACCTATAGTTCACGTACCCAAATGTTTGCTTCTGATTTGATTCATATTCTCACTACTGACCTAACCGAAACGAACCGTAAACAACCCCAATCCAGAGTCATTTTTGACCATATGTGTTGTTTCATTTAGGGGCCGTTTACCATACGCTTATTCCGGTAAGTGAACATCAAATCACATTATCTTAACGGATAATATGGTAAGAACCAAAAATCTTACGCGGTAAGAGCCGAGACAAGGACCAAGAGTCTTACCCAGTAAGCGAGAACGACGATTCTTATCACGGTAAGCGCTTACCAGTAGGGGTGCTTACGGGTTGGGTTGATCGAGTTGAAGACATTTGAACAACCCAACCCAATGTTTGCGGTTTGAAAAATCTCAACCTAATCCAACCCGAACCAAAGTGCAACCCAACCCAATCTGTGCGAATTGATCGGGTTGAAACTTTGGTACATTATATTATTCTAATCTAGAATATGTTGTTTTTCTACTCATAATTTCTTTTTCATCATCAACTACTTGATACAACTTATCCATACTTCTTACGTATATCGCATTCAGTTAATTTTCTCAATTTACATATATATGTTCACAATTACTGAACATATATACAAATATAAAGATAGGAATAAATTAAAAATATGTGTATATGAAGAGCATACATGATAGTGTAGCTGTCTAATGTACATACTAATAAAAATTCAACAATCATATTAAATCCAAGAAATAAAAAGATATTGGGTTCATATGGTTGGGTTGGGTTCAAATAATAGCAACCCAATATCAACCCAATACTTATGGTTTGACAATTTTACAACTCGATTAGACATTGAGTTGCTTCGGGTTGAGTTATTTCGTGTTGGGTTGGGTTGATCGGGTTGGTCGGGTTTTTGAGCACCCCTACTTACCAGGTAAATTGTTGCATACGATACTTGTTTTGGTGGACTAAAATCTTACCTGATAAGTAAATGATGGTGTTAAATTTTACCGGTAAGCGCTTACCGGGTAAGTATTTAGTAAACGAACCATAAGACGTAAAAAGGTACAGAATTGAGTTAAAAGGGCTAAATCAGCAAATTCATATATAGAGGAGGGACCATTTTTGTAATTTACTATTGTTTTAAAAATTAGCAAGGGCACCAATTAGCAATTAAAACCCTCAAAAAACCCTAACATTTCGATGTTTTTAATCGAGAAACCTTTTCTCTCTCCTCGCCTCCATCTCCTCCGCCCCCCTCCTCATCCTCATCCGTCGTCATCTACCTTCCCATCCCGTAATTGTAAGTTTTAGTCTCTTCTCCATGTCGTATTTTACTTCTTCTTCTCTTATTTGGATCATGATCATAACTTAAACTTGACTACCTGCTTCTATACAGTATTTGTGTGGATAATGTGATCGTAATGTGATGCATTGTTCGCTTCCGAGCTAGAATTTAGAGGCGAGATGAATTTTGGTAAAAGAATGCGGAGTTATGTGCATGGAATTAGGATGTCAAATCAATTGGGGATAAGTTAATGTTGTTGGGATTTGATATCAGGCTCTATTCTTTATGGTCATTTGCTTTTTTGTTCTGCATTTTCGTTACGCATAATTGAGATTTAGTTCAAAAATGTGCATAATTGGTAACATGGTGAAGAGAGGAAAGTTAGAGTTGATAAACAAACATAATTTGGATTTGGGTTTTGATTAGCGTGACGATTTTTCTTGGTCTTTGTTACATTTTTTTCTTAAATTTGAAATCTTTATAGTGATTGGGAGCTTGGTGATGTATGTGTGGTTATGTTTGTGTATATATACATGTACCAGAGAGTAGAAAAGAATACTTTAATACCCCATGAAAATCTAAGGCTAATTCCTGGTGCTTTTTCACCAATGTCTAGAAAATGAATGTTGCATTTGAGGCAATTGTTACTTAAAATCTCCTGTTTTTAGCTTCTCATTCTGGCCCAAAGCAAGTCAATAGTCTGGTCCTGGGTAGGCGATTTTAGGTGTCACAAGTGAACTTAGTGCCTATGGTGCATACTCGTATTATCAGTTTATTGGTTCCTGGTATATATTAAGAAATGGCTTCTGTCATTACCCATCTCTTAACCATTTTGTTAGTAGAGTAAAAAAATAGAACTCTTCTATTGGTCTATTTACATAATGAAAATGAGAAGTTCTTACATTCTTGTTACTGCAAACTAGACAGATATTCTGAAAGAAACATCTAGAAGAAGCTTTCCAGTTAAGTGGGCACATTCCACATCAACCATGGCTGCAGCAACTGTAAGTCTCGTAAGTTGCATATTATCATGCATACATCATTTGTATGTGTGCTGAAACTAGTTTTTAGGTCACTTGTGAAGTAGAGACTGAAAGACTGAATTTTGGAAATACAAGATATGTTGCTTTGAATTTTATAAATTTACGCAGTTCAGATGATATGAATTGTTTTGTGGAACAGGAGGATAATTGGAGCCTTAAAGACCAAATAGCAAAGGTGTTTGAGGTCTCACTTAAAGTTACTGTCCCTGATGAGCCAGAAGTCGCGCCTTTAATTGCTGCCTGTGCTAAAAAAGAATTTGGTGATTACCAATGGTATATGTTTATACTCGTATTTTTGCATGATGAATTTCTATATATGTTTTTATTATACTGAAGCAATGCAATCTTTTACCTTTTTTAGTTTGTAACATAGTAGATCATTTTATTGATTTGGGCTGCATCATTATTTGTATGCCATATTTTTCTTTAGAATGCTGATTACTAATGCAGAAATGCAAATTTGGTAACAGCAACAATGCCATGAGCTTATGGTCCAAAATAAAAGGCAAGGGTACAGAATTTAGAGGTCCACAACCTGTTGGACAGGTATGTTGTCTTTGTGAATGTGAACTATCATGGATGTTGATTATATAGAATAGACTATATTCTAACACCATTTATATGTTCCATGCTTTCTTTCTAATATGTAGGCCATCATGAAAAATCTTCCAACATCTGAGATGATAGAATCAACATCCATAGCTGGTCCTGGCTTTGTTAACGTTAAGTTATCAAGGCAATGGATGGCAAAGGTAGTTGTCGTTTCTAACGTTCTGAAACACCCATTCCAAATATTCAATCTAGCATCTTGCTTACTTCAATGTTGTCACTGTGATACCTGCAGAGTATCCAAAAGATGCTAAAAGATGGTATAGAGACATGGGCACCAAAACTTCCTGTCAAAAGGGCAATAGTAGATTTTTCATCACCCAACATAGCAAAAGAAATGCATGTGGGACATTTACGATCGACTATCATTGGAGACACACTAGCACGTATGCTTGAGTATTCCAAAGTTGAAGTGCTTAGAAGAAATCATGTTGGGGACTGGGGTACGCAGGTACATGCAATTGATCTTCATGTGTATTTTTCTTGGTATTTCAAAGTTTATTTAGCTCACGTCTATGTGTTGTATACTCTGCTAACTTTTAGCCTACATTTTTTCTGGACTTCCAACTTTCATCAATAATTCATCAACTCTAGTTTATTGGAAGAAAAAGTTAGGGAAGTTGTTATGTATATATATGTATATATATTTCACACATAAAAGTTGTATCTATGATTAAATAATTACATGTCTTTCATCCCAAATTAGTAAATGCATGCCTAGTAATTTTTTCTGTAGGCTAACTACCCTGGGGGTTTCAGCATTTTTTAAACTAAAGTCAGCTTCTTTGGTTTAGTTTTGAATCTCTTCAATACGAGCTTAAATTATGTTATACGCGGTATTAGTGGAATATGATTTTTTTCCTCATTGTGTAAATAAATAATCTAAACATGTTTCTTTTGTAGTTTGGAATGTTGATCGAGTTCTTATTTGAAAAGTTCCCTGATGGGGAGGTTAGTGATCAAGCTATTGGAGACCTTGAGGTGAGCAAAGCTCCTTTCAAATTACAACACATGTGAAATCTCACCGTTCTATAGATTCGTTTATGAAGTGCTTCTAGTTACATAGTTCTCAATTACTTAAAAAGTGCAACAATCTTTATTTGGAATGTCCCATTATTAATTAGAACAATTGACTTTGGTAAGTTTTCAAACTTTACTACCAATTTGTTCCAAAGAACTTTTTTGTTTTATCATATTGAAGGGTATCTTAAGCACCTGACTAAAGATCAACCACTTCTGTTGTCGAGATCAAATAGTTGAAACTTCTATGAGACAGAGGGAGTAGTATGTATTCGTGCTATAAATGCAATATTGTTAGTGTTTAGAGAGGAGCATTTTGTTTTCCTTGCATGCTGCCATTGGTTCTTTTATTTACTAAACATGTTCAACATCTAACTTATTTCTGATCTAAATATCTTTAGCTACCACTGCCAAATTATTACTCTGTATAATTTGTTTCATCTATATGCTACATTTCAGTATAAAATAAGTTATTATTAATATTTGGACATTTTCTTTGAATACTGAGTGGTCAGTGTTATCTTGATTGAATTGGTACTTTGATAGACGTTCTATAAGGCATCGAAGCAGAGATTTGATGGTGACCCTGAGTTCAAAGATAGAGCCCAGAAGGCGGTGGTCAGTCTCCAGGTGAATATCCACATTGTAGCCAACATAACCTTTGAATCAACTTCTGTAGCAAATTCAATCTGAAAAAATAAACTACAGGGTGGCTATCCTTGATTCTTAAACAAAAATCTTCTTTAGTTTCCAGAGTTTCTTGAGCATCATCTTAGCATCTCTTTATTTTTCTTATATGTATATGATGAATTAAAAATAGGGCGGCGAGGAAAAGTACCGGAAGGCATGGGCACAAATCTGTGAGATAAGTCGGAAGGGCTACGGAAAAGTATATGAGCATCTGGGAGTCCACTTGGAAGAAAAGGTATTATGTTTTGCCCTCTTTCACTTGCTCCCCAACTCTTTTTCACTTCCAGTTTTCTAGTCAGTGCGTTCCAGAAAGGCAATTTCTGACCCTCTAGGTACTGTTGAATTCTGTCACATTTTAGTGCCAACATTTTTAGACACCAAAGGTGGCTTGAATATTTAATGAATTCATAATAAATTTGAAGTTGAAAGTTGATGTATCTGACTTCTGTTATCAGCCTCATCTCCTTTTTATTTATTGAAACCCATGTATCCATATCACAAATGTTGCTTGCTCACAGATGTTGCATTTTTTGACAGAGAACTCCACTTATTCTGCTCTTGCTATAAAATAGCCTTACGTACGTATTTTGTAATTTACGAGTTAGTGTTTAATTCGCTTGCTTTCAGGGTGAAAGCTTTTATAATCCCTACATTCCTGGGACACTTGATCTGCTGAGGGAAAAGGGATTGATTGAAGAAAGTGAAGGAGCTCAGGTGATCTTTATTGAAGGAAAAAAGATACCCCTTATCGTTGTGAAGAGAGATGGAGGTTTCAACTATGCTTCAACAGATCTTGCAGCGCTGTGGTTAGTTTTCTTAAAATAAAGGCTGAGTTGATGAAGACCTATCTTTATTAGCGACAATAGGTTCTTTTTTTGGGAGGGTGTCCTAGGCTATGCCTAGACTAATCCCTGCAAATAGTGACAGCAAGAAATCAACCCTGATAAACTCAGTGGCCACAATTGTTGTGTACGCGTAGAATCGAACCCTGGGCAGATGGGATATTCCACCACATCCCCCAGGGCCTCAACCACAATAGATTTACATGAACTTTTTTCCATATATGATCCAGTTGTGATTTTATGTACTATTTTATTAATATTTCATCTTACCAATTTCAGTCGAGATATCTTCTTGTGCTTACTGCATGTGTATACCTTGATTTTATAGGTTAAACATGTTGCATATTATCGAAAAAAATGTGAGGAATGGGGATAATTTTTCTGAAACCTTCTGCTTCATATGTAGGTATCGCCTTAATGAGGAAAAAGCCGAGTGGATAATATACGTCACTGATGTGGGCCAGCGAGAACACTTTGAAATGTTTTTCACTGTAAGTGAGTTTCACATAGTGTACCCCCCAAAAAAACCAAGAAAAGCAAGGAATAGGATATTGGCCGAGGTAACTAAAATTTTCTTTCAGGCTGCTAAACGTGCAGGGTGGCTTCCGACCGATGAGAGCAAATACCCTAAAACCAATCATGTTGGATTTGGTCTTGTTCTGGGCGACGATGGGAAGAGATTCCGAACGCGTAGTAGTGAAGTGGTAAAGTTGGTTGATTTGCTTGATGAAGCCAAAACTCGTTGTAAAGCAGCCCTTGTGGAGCGAGGTAAACACACATGCTCTCTCCCTCTCTCTCTTCCATTTTTTTGTCCATCATTAAAACTGATTCATCTTTTAAGTCAATGAAATGAGTTACAATGTTTTCATCTTTATCAGGTAAGGCTGCTGAGTGGACTGCTGAGGAGCTTGAGCATACTGCTGAAGCAGTTGGATATGGTGCTGTTAAGTAAGTTTCTCATGCTTTATCATAAATACTGTGCTTATTGTACTCATGCTATCAGCACCATTAAATTAGTAGAGCTGGAGACACTCGTTTTTCTATGAATGCGCTTAAATCAACATTTCATTTCAAAAGAGGGGTAGATATGTGAGCAATTTTTTTATTGCTGTTGCTAATTCATGTTGATTTAAACAAATGCAACAAAGTTTTTATTAGTTCCTATTTCATGTAACAAATAGTTTTTTTCTCAATCAATGTAAAATCGTTTAAATTTTTTCTTTTTAATGTAACCTATTTAGTTCTGTTTATTTCCTCTTTAGTGTAACAAAGTTTCTGGAGTTAGAGGTCAAATTTGGTAAAAGAAAAGGAAAATTTGAAAGTTTGCTACATTAAATAGCAAAGTTTGAAACTTTTTCATTGATTAAGAAAAAAGTTCTTTGTTACGCCAAATAGGAACCAAGGCAAACTTCATTGCATTCTTCCCTTTAAACAATGCCTACACTTATAAATACTGTTGCTTTATTTTTTTTTATGAACTTGAGTTAATATCAAATTTTTATATCAATTTTGACACTGGTGCTTGCTATTGGTTGTATGCTTGTGTTCTTAACAGGTATGCTGACCTGAAGAACAATAGATTGACCAATTACACATTTAATTTTGATCAGATGCTTAATGATAAGGTATGCTTAATGATGTTCTTCCTTTTTTTATTATGTTCAAGTCTTCAACGAGAGATGTTATGTAATTTTACATTGTATATTACATTTTTCTTTTTCCCAGTTCTCCATTTATTCTCTATTTGCAGTGTTGGTCTCCTTTTTTTACCTGCTCACTCTCTTTGATAAATAGGGAAATACTGCCGTCTATCTGCTGTATGCACATGCTCGGATTTGTTCAATTATTCGGAAATCTGGTAAAGACGTAGAGGAGCTGAAGAAGGTAAGATCCTGCAACTTCAATGTTCCCACAACTTCCTCATCCCAGCCTGCCATTTTCGTCGTTTCTTTAATTCTCGAACCGAATGCAAATTTATGAATGAATTTAATTGTTTGCAACAGGAGGGACAATTAATATTGGAAAAAGAGGAAGAACGCAAGCTGGGATTACATTTGCTCCAATTTGCCGAGGTAAGACTTCTCAAAGAAGAAACTGTTGCTCATGCATCTTTGCTTTCTTGGTGGCAACAAATGGGATTTTTTTTTGGGGGGGGGGGGGGGGCGGCATATCCCCATGTCCACTTGTTCCTGCTTTCGTACTACCCATTCCTGCTTCCTCCTCCCCTCCCCCCTCTCTTACCTCCTCCATCCATCCTGCACTAATACGTTTTCTGTTTTAGTGAATTCTTTGTTCTTATTTGAACATGCTTCCTCTGTCCAAGATAAATGTCCATAAAACAAAAGGCACTCAACTTTAGAAACGTGTAATTGTTACACCTTTTATTAAGTTAATGACGAATACCCTTAATAACAGAGCGAGTAATGAATTTCTTCATCTCATAATCAAGGGCATAATTGGAAAGTATGCACTTATTCTGGGACAAACTAAGATAGAAATGTGGACACTTAATTTTTGGGATGAGGGAGTATAAAACACCAGTGTTGTAATAGAATAGCCAGTATCTCAAAATAGAATATAAATAAAACATGTTTATATAGGATTTAATTTATTTTCTTTACTTTTGTCCCTGCGGCCCTGCCTTGTCTGTTTTATGTACCCGATACTTGATTGCACACTTCCCACCTGTAACTTGCTCTCTTGTTTCTTCTAATTTTATTTTTTCACAAGCCGGGGTCTTTATGGAAACGACCTCTCTACCCGTTGGTTTTAGGTGGATATAGGATGACACTGGGGCTTAATCCTTAAATGCCTTTTACGCTTTTTGACATAATTTGTTCACCCTCTTGTTTTTCAGATTGTCGAAGATGCTTGCACAAATCTATTACCCAATATTTTGTGCGAATACCTATACGACCTATCTGAGAAGTTCACCAGTTTTTACTCCGAGTGCCAGGTATGTTATATATGTTCTGTTTTCTCTTATGAATATTCGTTTATCAAATGCTCCTACACCGATCCTCAAAAGATGGTCAACGTTTTGCTTTAAAGACCTATCTGGTCATTCTCAAATCCAAAATTTGCTCCAAATTGTTGTCATTTAAATAACTTGATAGAAATATCCTTTTCTTTTGGCCAAAATGCAACATTGGTTCGTACTTAGGGGCTGTTTACTTGCGGCTTAATTAGGCTTATTGATCTATCTGGCTTATTCGCACAGCTAATTTGGGTTGTTTACTTACGGCTTATTCGCACAGAACATGGCTTAATCGCATTGATAGAAATGGTGTGTTGTCTCCATTCAGCCACAAAAATGACACCCCTACCCTTTATTTAAAGCACCGCCTCTTTCCCATATGAGGCACCCCATTTTCGGCCTCTTTTTGATTTTCTGTTTTGATGTTCAAATAATTAATATTGGGGGGTAAATTGGTCATTTTTGTTATTCTGACTGTTAGTTTCGATAAAAAAAAGTAAACAACACCAATTTATCCAAACAGACAAATTTATTCATATATAACTTAATAAAAAATTTGGTAAACAGCCCCTTAGTGTAACAAACGTTACATTTCTTATCTTATATCCATTTTGACTAGTAATTGGTAGATCTCGTAACTATTGATGATGTGGATGAATAGTTGTCTAAGTTATATCGTAGTTCTTGATTCCATGGAAAATTGTCACATCAATATCAACCGATCCCATAGGCTGAAAACTGGTTCACTATGTGAAATCGGTATACCCACACCATTAGGAATCAAGTCAAACTTGGTTATATTTTTTAACATTTTGTATTATTTTAAAAGTCAAAATAACAATGAATTTAGCTTTGACTTTAGAAAGTCAAGATGATTGTTCTTGTTTGTATTTTGGGGTGTTGACATTGATGACATCTGGGCAGGTGGTTGGATCTGCTGAGGAGACAAGCAGATTATTGTTATGTGAGGCAACTGCATTGGTAATGAGGCAATGTTTTCATCTTTTGGGGATCACTCCTGTCTACAAAATCTGATCTCTAATTTTACATTTTGGACCCTATGAATTTCATTTGATGCTAAATACACCCCTTGGAAGTTGTAAGCATTCATATGGGTCCCTTTTTTTTCTAATTTTTGAGCATTTGGGCATCTTCTATGACTAGATAATGATTGTAACACAAAGTATATGTTATAAAACCTTACAAAACATTCTATCTTGAAAACTAAAAAGGATTGTTTTGCACATTTTTTCTGTTTCTTGTAACAGTTAAATATTGTAATTTCGATTACCGGTTTTCGGTGGTCCCTTGATTGGTTACGGTTATATATTTTGTAGCCCAAAATGTGTAACTGAGATGGATGGTGCTTTTAGGTAGTGTTTGGTATGTAGACTTCATGGGACGGGACAAAACATGACTAATTGTTTGTTCTATGGTTGGTGCGACTAGGACAAGAGAAGACAAAATTGTTGAAATGATCATATTACTCTTAAATGGTGTTCAATGTTATTTTATGTCATATAATGATTGTAAATGACAAGAAAACAACCAAAAATATATTTAAATTATTTAATCTATGATATCAATATTTTTTTTAACATTCTAAGATCACATGTAAATAACATTTGTCATACCACAAATTTTAAATACGCACATAATTTAAAAAATTTAAACACAACAATTGTAAATAACATTTGTCATGTCATTGTCAAAAGTTTAACATTTCTAGAATGGAGGCTGTGGAAGAGAAAAAGATGATACAATTAAATTAGGTTTGTATTTCTATATAAAATAATAAGAGCAATATTGTAATCTCAAATTTAGTCTCATGTTGTTCTACCTTTTATGGTGGAACAAAAAAACTCGAGAATAGGTCCCACCCAATCTTACTTTTGTCCCATGTTGTCCCATCTCATTTTTGTCCCATAACACACCAAACATGAGACTATTTATTTTGTCTCGTCTTATCTCACCTAGTCTGTATACCAAACGCAACCTTAAAAAGATAGTTTATAATAGATTCTTGTAACTAGTACTTTAATTGGTCACGTAGAAAGACTTGAAGGCTTCTGAGTCATGGTCAGGAAATTGTTGATGTCTTTATTATTACTAATAACAAATAATTATCAATAAAAAATAATTACTACCAATATTAGTAAATGTTAATTATTAATAGATATTAATTCATAGTAATTAATATTTGTTATCAAATATCAATTATAATATTATAATTATTATTTAATATATTTAGTTACAAAAAACAATATAATAATTATAAAAATGTTTTTTAAGTTATATAAAATTAAAAATATACTTATTTTGTTTCATAGATAATAATCCATACAGACAACTTTATCCATAAAACACTTGGGGGTTGTTTACCCAATTGCTTATCCTAGTAAACGTTTACCGATAAGAGTCAACACTATGATTTATTTTGATGCATAAGATTTAGTATATCAAAACATATCGGATGCAACAATTTACTGGGTAAGCACTTACCTGGGTAAGAGTCGTCATCCTCATAAGACTCTCCATCCTTCTCATCGCTCTTGCCCGGTAAGATTCTTGGCCCTTCTCATGTTCATCCGATTAAAAAATTTATCCAGTAAACACTTACCAAGTAATTGTTTAATAAACGGCCCCTAGTCATGAAATAACCAAACAGCCCTATAATATTGTTTAACAGCACCTTCTGACCAACAAATGTTGTTGTTGACCATGATTTTTCCCCAATAACATATACATTTTTGCAACAGGGATTCATTCCAACAAAGAGAGATGGTCATGGAAGAATATTATGAAACTATATTTGCACACCTTAGAAACTGTAATCAACAAAGAGGGCTGTTTGTTTACCTCTTAATGGTTCCATTAAGAGAAAGTTTCTGAATCACTAAGAGGTGAATCTTGTTTGACAAAAAAATATTTGCATCTTAATGGTTCTAAAATCCTCTGAATGATTTTGTATTATGGGTCTTCCTTAACCGTTCAGCACCCTAATTCCATTATAAACAATTACTGAACAATTATATTTCATTATGCACCAAACCATTCAGCAACTGCCAAACAACTCCTAAATGGAGTTTTTTATTTTTTTTGCATTTGTTGTATATAAATATTACAATGCTTCAAAAGAATATATCGTGGCAACAAGTAGGTGCCTTAAATTTTTTGCTTACTAAAAACAGTCATGGAAGGGCCTAGTTTCGTCTATGCCGCCAAGAAGGGCGTTTAAAACTATACCGATCAAAGACGATCTAACTTGAAAACAGGGGTGAGACGACAGTGGTCGAGCAACAACTGCAGGATCTTGAATGCGATACCTGCAGAATTGCAGAAGGGCCACCGAGCGAAAAACAATAACGTAGAAATACATGTGACGTTCAGTTATTGGGGTTTCAGCCCTTTCTAAATGTGCAAACAATGCTAAAATTTAACTACACAGATGTTTTATAACTTAATCTGTAAGGCATTCGATGCCCACAAAATGCAATGCTGCAATTTATGCATAAATCCATGATTTGGGTTCTGCATGCTACTTATCAACCACTGATGATCTAAGGATGCAGAATCCGATAAAGGCTCCAAAAACTCGCACCTCGTTAGAATCTCAGGCGGTGGTACTCCTCCAGCGATGAGGTTTGTATCAAGCTTCGGCTTATTTTTGCTCAGGTTTTTGGACTTCGGCAAAGGGGTGTTATCGAAGGCAGATGGTGATGCACCAGCAACAATCTCCTCCTCAAAAGGTATCGCTCTTTGAGATTGCAAACAGAAATCAATCCATTGATGCACGAGCGGCGATGGCCCTCTTATACGCCCTCCAAGTTCGTCTGTAGCAATGCCTGAGGCAGCCGGTATTGCCTGCATGAAATTTATTTTAAAATAGTGTCATAACTTTCACTTGTCACCGTTTCAATTGTGTTGCATTTTCTGCCATTTGTTTGCCGATTTTCTGTTAAGATATATGATCTAATATTGTACCACTAACACTGATAACTGTCACGAGTGTCATGTTATGAGTATGCTAAAGACGGCATAAAAGAAAAAAAAAACAGGAAGTTTCAGAAAAAGAAAAAAACTACACGTACCCATAAATCAGCCCATAAACTAGCTCCTGATTTCGGAACAATCACAGCAACATCTGACATGCGTTTGGCAGCAGGAACAATATCACTGCTCCACCCAACAGCTACCCATACGTCACCAACATTAAATGCTTTAAGATAGTTTGCACTGTCAAATAGCCGAACCTACAGGAATACCATTAAAGTCAAGATGTCGATAACTTGCTTTATTGGCATAACTAAAATAACACCATGAATTTAAAAAGAACAGCTGATATCTAGCTTAGGGTCTGTTTGTTAGCAGCTTAATGGGACTCACAGCTTATTTAGTTAGCTATACATCGCTGTTTGTGGTGGCTTAAATGCTTAATGATATAGAAAGTGGCTTATTCAGTAAGATTCTAGGAGGGAGCTTAACCCGCCCCTCCCAATTAAAAAACACCCTCCTTCCATCTATGAAAAAGCCCTCCTAAACAAAAACTTCCCCAATCTACACAGACAGATTTTAGATCGCCAGCTTTATCCGTACATGACTTAATGGAAAGTCAACCAAATAGCCCCTTAATCCTCATGGACTAGCACTTGTACCCAATTACACATCCCTGGATATTGTTCAAATATAAAAATATTTAAACAACCACCACCACAGACTTGACATGTTGGTAGAATTTATGTAAGGATATAACCCAACTGTTAATAGCAGAATCCAACAACCGTCGGTAGTCCTGCAGACTTGACAAATTGAAGGAAATCAGTGTAAGGGTATCGATCTAAAAGTGTAAACCAAATGGAAACAGGAGGAAAGGAAAAATCTACAAAAAATTAGCATCAGTCTATATGTCGTCATCAACTAATGATGATTTTGGCTTCATCTTAATACCTGTTTTTGAAGTGCAGCAAGTTCATCCTTCACAGCATTTCTTCCACCAGTAACTTGAGAATCAATGTTACTTGTATTATACGATGCTCCCAAGTATTTCAGGACTGCACCAATAACCTCTCTTGGAGAATCAACCATTGCAATCTTCCCAGCAAGATCAGGCCGCCACAGATCTGCCCAGTCCTGCAATGATGAGGGTTGAGTTCCGGTGAGAATGGAGGTTATGGGGAGAAGGGTAAGAACGGATCTCCACCCTTGGATTAATCCTAACTGGATCAACACTAATGAGATGCACCGGGTCAATTCCCGTATCAAGCCCAATTCATGGGATGGAGTTGAGATTAAAAGTGATCAAGGGTCCAAATAGCTTCTTACGTTTCTCACCTTAACTCCTATTCTCACATGATCCTTTGTCACAATGATGATTCATCCTCATCTAGTATATATTACAAGTATGCACAAATATATTGCGATTCCACAGAGTTTACCTCTATAGGAGCCAAATTATGCTGTCGAAATTTGTTTTTTCTGTAAGCTATTACCATGCTTCCCCATCGATATGGAACAGCCCATATCTTACCCTCAGTATCTGATTTCCCTTCATCATTCCTGCGCAAATACACCTGAGATTATTTTAGGAGAACCCTCAGATTAACCAAAATAAGTACAATAAACCAAATCATTGCTAGCATAAAGAAAACTTTCAGCTGCTCATACATACAGAATGCAAAGAAAACTAAACATCCCTTAACAACTTGTACCATGTGCATTAAGAGTTCATTTTTCAGGGTTTATATTCAAGGACTATTTTTTAAAGACCCATCAAAATCATGATAAAATGGTGACAGAAAACTACAAATTTTTGTAACAAAAACTACATATTGGTGTTGAAAATGGTGATAAACTGATTATGAAAAGCTACAAATTGAAAAGCAGAAACTGGTAAGCGACATGCTTCGGAGAAATCGTTAAGTAGAAATCGATTTGGTAAACTACAGGCGTCAGAGAAATCATTAAGAATCAGATAAGCAGAAACTGGGAGCAACAGCAGTAATCGATAAGCAGAAACGGGAAGCAAGCAGAAATCGTTAAGCAGAAATTGGAAGCAACAGATAAGCAGAAATCGTTAAGCAGAAATTGGAAGCAACAGATAAGCAGAAATCGTTATGCAAAAACTGGAAGCAACAACAGTAATCGATAAGCAGAAACGGGAAGCAAGCAGAAATCGTTAAGCAAAAATCGTTAAGCAAAAACTGGAAGCAACAGATAAGCAGAAATCGTTAAGCAACAACAGTAATCGAGAAGAAGAAACGAGAAGCAAGCATAAATCGTTAAGCAGGTGATAAAACTGGAAGAAGGTTTTTTTGTCATTTACACAATTTTGGATGGGATGGATTTCAATCCATCACTTTTATGAAGGAATGGTGAAATCCTCAAATGATGGAATGTTTGGAATTCAATTCCATTCCATGGGTAACCAAACGTCGGAATGGAATTTGGTCAACGGAATTGACCATTCCAATTCCACCAAATTCCGGCGGATTCCGACGAACCAAAAGCCCCCTTAGTGTCAAAAAAATAAACCCATACGCATAGAATACAGCTTAGCTATGCACTCAATTACCTCCTGTGACCTAATTTAGGTGTGCAAGACATTAAACTACCATTTATATTAATAAATGAAACTTTAAGCATCAAGACAGACCAAGGTACTAGCCTAAATATCTAATCTATGACTCAAAGTATTGCAGTCCCATATATATAAACAGCATACAAGTGAGTGATGATACAGTGATGCATATGGAACTATTTGCTAATATCCAGCTTAACGTTTTTAGCTTTCAAAAGTTAATCACTTCATCCATCATTCCTGCCATAACCTGATAAGCCATCATTCAGCAATTGTCTGCCTGTGAAACTATGGATTCTGTAACTGTCCTATGCACAGATAAAACCGGGACCTTGACCATGAACAAAATGAAAGTTACAAAACTTTGGCTTGCATTGACTTGATCATATAAAAGATGATTATTCCATAGATGCAAAAGATCTTCAACTTTACCATCAGTTTCTAGAAACACATCCGAATGTTCCGGCAACCCAACCGAGAAAGCAATTCTGTTGTGGGGGTCATGAATTTGGGTCTGGAAATGGAGAAACTGAAGGAAGATTATATCATTCTTCATACTGAAAACTTCAATTTTATGAAGAAGCGGGGTGGAGTTTTGATTTGGAAGAAAGACGACAGCGCCATACATGTGCATTGGAAAGGAGCAACTGAGATGGTACTAGCAATGTGTTCAAGCTATTATCAGAAAACTGGCCTTAAAAAGTCCTTAGGCAAATCTTAATTTATGATAAAGTAATCTTGTGTTAGAAGGTCAGGAAACCACACAAGAAGGGTGAGCATGTTTTACATAAAGATATGCTAAAAAAAAACGTAAGTATCAAGATTTTATCTTGTTAGCAACATATATCTACAAAAAAATACTAGAAGCAGAATGTGGCTTATCTAACAGGACCCGAACAAGCACAAGAGAGGATAACATGCATGGGAAAGACAGGGTAACCATGCCAATTAAATAAGAATATCATCTTATAAATGGAGAGTCATTGGCCCAGTGGTACCAGGGTTACTCCCAACACCTAAAGGTCAAGAGTTCAAACCTCAACAAAGGTGAGTATTAAGAGTTAGTGTTTGTTGTTTATAAATATTATATACTTCATAAAAAGAATTAAATTATAGTTGATGGAACTTTCTTTAGTGTTGTTTCTGGCATCCTACATCAACTACCCTTCTCAATGACCAACAACTAAACATAACATCTATATGCACAAACGCCTTGACAAAAGGTTCATTACTATATAATAATTGTCTTTTTCCGGTCCACTAGGCATTTTCTAGAAATGAAGATGCACACATTTGATGACATTAAGTATAACATCAGACATCACCTTCAACCCAACAGAATAGATTGGCAGAAAAAAAATGGCAGTTTAAAGCAAATGTATCTTACCTTCCACTTGTCACTTAGTTTGCAGAACCAATCTTGCTCATCAACCCCCTGTATGGGTTCTATCAATTTCTTGCTAATTGCGAAATTTACCCAGGTGTCACCAAGAGAGATAATATCAGCAGCCCCAGCCAATTTAGAACTAACTTTTCCTTTACCTATTGTTGTAGAGAGTTCTGAAAATATACCCTCAAGAGTTCCACGAAATTCTAGACGAAATTTCACTCTCCTTCCTTGAGATTGTATGAAATTCTGTAACAAGTTAACTGAATAGTGAATACGATAATCTACAGTTTGTAAGTGAAAAATGACTATGCAAGTGAGGCAGGGAGTCATGATACCATTAGAATTAGAGAAGGTGATCATGCATATGCATATTATTCAAACTAAGGTAAATTACACTTCTTTACTACATTTCTTTGCCATTTTCAATGAACTATCATACTTGGATGCAAGTTAAAATAATATTTGTTGTTTAAAGACAATGCATAACACCCCGAGCAACTGCATAAGACACCTGAAAAGATTTGAATACACTAAGATAATTTAAGCTACTAAACCTTGATCCATAAAGGAGGGACTGAGCTGCGGAGAGCAACAATTCTCAATGGAACAGTCAGAGCATAAGTTTTTGATTTGTAACTCTCAAATGCAGCTTTCACTTCTTCATTCTCATACTCTCCAGATGAACTGTCTATATTGACAAGTGACACATGCATACATGTTAGACCAGTTGATAATAACCATCAGTCCTTTTCTACTAACATTCAAAAAAAGATATATGTTTTTAAGATGGTGAAAAAGATATTTGAATGTCAAGAATAAAAACAATATTTGTTCCCAAAAAGTAAACTAGTTATTGTTTTGTATTTCCTAACCTCTAGAACACATTAAGAACACCAAACCCACACTACCATATTTGTAGAGAGATACATATGAAATGTTGATTAGCATCACAAATCCTTGGTGAGAGAAATAATTTGCAAGCAATTCCGTCCAATCCAATAAGAGATGCAAATTGACATTAGATGTCTAATGGGATCATCTTTTAGTATTTATTTAGCTCAATATCTAGGCTCCATGATTCAGAAAGAATGAGAGGTTGATGATGATGTAACACATTGCATACAGAAATGGTGGTTGAAGTGGAGAGCCACCACGGGAATGATGTGTGACATCCCATTCCAGACACTACTACTCCAGGTGAGATATACCAAGTCGGTTTGGTTTGGTTTTGTTTGTCCAAGTTCAAAATTAATATGGCTTCAAAAATTTTCCTTGAAACTGTTGGTCACCACATTTCCATGTATTAATTGATAAGAAGTGTTGGTGTTACGACACAACATATATTCATCTAGTTTTGAAGTTTGGTCATTATAGTTTGAGTTCAAAATCTATGATCTCTTTTTGCTATTAAGAAGTAAAAGAAAAAGACTCACTCTTTAGTTTCTCATTGATCCAAAAAATAAAACCCACTTTTCTTCAAATTCACTTTGTTAACTACTATGCAGATTAAACCTTCATTCTCTAATAAAGAATTTAGACATGATTTCATATGTATATGTGAAACAACAATCCAAGACAAATACCAACTCAATGAAATAAATCAGTTAAAAGCCATCCCCTCCAAGAGTAAAAGAAGAATAACCTTGAATTGACCGATTCTCGACCAATGTGTTGTCATTGGTGGTAGCGACAACCGGTGGACTACCGGAGGTAGCAGCAAAGCAGGCGGAGCTACGAATCCCTCCCAAACTGATAAAGAGCAGTGCAGCCGATGTGGCAAGTGCGGGAATCAGATTCTCAGAATTGGATGTCGGTTGTTCGACAGTAGACGAACTTAAGATGAGGTTTCGGCAAGAAGATGTGTTTGAAACAGATGTCGGTTGGAAGTCAAAAATCCGGCGAGGAAGGGAGTAGAGGCTATGAGATGCAAGAAACAAGGGATGTTTGTGGTCAAGAAGTGACGCATGCAACCTCGACATTTTTGTGGTTGTTGCAAACGCTATACAAAGAGTGTGTCTTTGATGCGAGCTCTGGGTGAGTCAACTCCCTGAGTTAGTCCACTGCATTCAGTTTAGAGGGACAAATCCATCATGGCTTCCTTTCCCTGTGGAACCAAGCCACAATAAGATTGTTTGTTTTTATAATATGATAATTGTCTATTTATAGAATTTCAAATATTTATTCATCATCATTACAAAATTTATACATAAAGGAGGGACTGAGTAGCTAGGGATGGTAATGGGACGGGACCGGTCCCCGTCCACGTCCGGGGATTATGATCACATCCCCATCCCCGTCCCCAACGGGGAACGGGGATCCCAACGGGGAAACGGGTAAAAGTTCAGGCTCTAGTTAAGGTAAAAATTAGTTCACAAATCAAGCCATCAAGGAACATATGTAACAATCAAAGTGGTAATATAAAATGGTAGATGATTTAATTGAAGACATACCTTTCAGAACTTGAATCCGTAGCCCAGTAGCCGGAGAGGGAGAGCCGGAGAGGGAGAGCCGGAGAGGAAGAGCCGGAGACGGAGAGCCGGAGAGGAAGAGCTGGAGAGGAAGTTGTCGTCGGCCTGTCGCCGTCGCCGGAAAGGGAGAGCCTGGTCGGGAGAAGGAGTCTAAGCGCCGTCGTCGTACTCGTACACTAGGGAAGGAAATCGTATCGTAACACAGGAGGGAGGATGCTGGATGCGGGAAGGAAAAGGAAATCGTGGACTGGACTGGAGAATTAGGAAGGAGAAGACGTATTACATTTACATTTCACAGCCCAAATTCATAAAAGCCCAATATATATATATATATATATATATATATAACGGGTACGGGACGGGGCGGGGAATGCTATACTCGTCCCCGGCCCCATCCCCGGCTTGCGCCAAGCGGGGATCCCTGTCCCCGTCCCCGGGACCCGATTTTTCAGGGAATCCCCGTCCTCGACCGGGGCGGGTGGACCGGGTTACCCTACGGGTCGGGGTCCATTCCCATCCCTAGCACAACATCTATACCATAAAGTTAGCATTCATCTTGTAATGATGATAAATAATTATTTGAAATTGTATAAATTTATATAAATTCAACATTATAACATTTTGAGGGGTACAGTAGACGATTAAATAAATTCAGATAATTATCAGTTTATAAAAACAAACAAACTTATTGATTCTGTTGGTTTGGCTCAATACCCAGTAGACGAAGGAAGTGATGTCGACGATGGAGTTGTCCTCTAAACCGGATGCAGTTGGACCAACTCAGAGAGTTGACTCACCCCGAGCTCGCATCTAACACACACCCTTTTTATAGTGTTTACAACAAAGGGGAGCAAAAAAATGTTGACGTTGCATGTGTCACTTCTCGACCACAAAGAGCCCGCATTCCTTTTGCTCATCATAGCCTCCCTCCCTTCCTCGCCGAATTTCAGACTTCCCAAAATATATGTTTCGCACACACCTTGCTAGAACCTTAACTTATGATCGTCAATCGTCGAACAACAGCCGTCCAATTCCGAGAATCTGATTCCCTCACTTGCCACATCGGTTGCTCTACTTTTTCTCAGTTTGGGCAGGGTTTGTAGCTCCATTTGATCTGCTGCTACTTCCGTCCGTCTTCCACCGTTGTTGCTGCCACCGAGGACAACAAATTGGTGAAGAATCAGTCAATTCACTGTTCTTCTTTTGCTCTTGAAGGCCAAGACTTTTAACTGACCTATGTCATTGAGTTGGTATTTGTGTTAGATTGTTGTTTCTAAATACGAAAATTTGTATGAATCCCTTATTAGAGAAAGAATACGTAATCTTCAAAGTAGTTAACAAAATGAATTTGAAGAAGAGTGGGTTTAATTCATTGGATCCTTGAAAAACTAAGATCGAGTCTCCTTGTAGTTTTTAAGATCAAAAGAATATCATACATTTTAAACTCAAACTATTAGTGATCAAACTTCAAACACCAAATGGATATATGTTGTTGTCGTAATTTTTGACCCCAACATGATCAACAGTTTCAAGGGAAGTTTTGGAACTCGTATTATTTTGAACCTGGACAATAAAACCAAACCATACCGACTCGATATATCTCAAGCATCTTTTTCATCATCTTAAAAACATTAAAAAAAATAGATGTTAGTAGAAAATGACTTATGGTTATTTTCAATTGGTCTAATATGTATGCGTGTCGTGCCACTCATCAATACTGACAGCACAGATGTTGGAGAGCATGAGAATGAAGAAGTGAAAGTTGCATTTGAGAGTTACAATAAAAAAAAAACTTATGCTCTGACTGTTCCGTTGAGAATTGTTGCTCTGCATAACTGAGGGGTTGTTTACTTGCGGCTTAATTAAGCTTATTGGTCTGTCTGGCTTATTCGCACAGCTCATTTGGGTTGTTTACTTACGGCTTATTCGCACAGAACATGGCTTAATCGCACAAATAAAAATGGTTGTTGTCCCCATTCAACCACAAAAATGACACCCCTACCCCTTATTTAAAGCACCGCCTCCTTCCCATATGAGACATCCCATCTTCGGCCTCTTTATGATTTTTTATATTATTTATATTTATGAATCCACGGAATTAAACTCACTCTTCACTGAATCACTTTGTTAACTACTTTGAAGATTAAACATTCATTCTCTTATAAAGAACTCATACAAAATTTTGTATTTATATCGGAAACAACAATCTAACACAAATACCAACTCAATGAAATAGGTCATTTAAATGTCTTGGCCTCCAAGAGCAAGAGAAGAATAACCCTGAATTGACTTATTTTCGACCAACGTATTGTCATCGGCAGTGACAGCCGGTGGAAGATGACCAACAGACTAGATGGAGCTACGAACCCCACCCAAACTGAAAAAAAAGCAGTGCAACCGATGTGCCAAGTGCGGCAATCAGATTCTCGGATTGGATGGTTGTTGTTCAACAGCAGACGATAGTAAGGTGAGGTTCTGACAAGCTGTGTTGGAAACAGATTGATGTGGGAAGTCGAAAATCTGGTGACGATGGGGGTGGAGACTATAATGAGCAAGAAACAAGGGATTTTTGTGGTGAAGAAGTGACGCATGCAACCTCGACACTTTTGTGTGCCCCTTTGTTGCAAACACTATACAAAGGATGTGTGTGAGATGCGAGCACGGGGTGAGTCAACTTTCTAAGTTGGTTCACTGCATCTGGTTTCGAGGGACAACTCTATCATCGGTTTTGTCCTCTACCGGTGGAGCCAAACCAAGAGAATCAATAACATATATTTGTTTTTACAAACTGATAATTGTCTGAATTTGTTTAACTCGTCTATTGTACCCCTCAAAATATTATAATGTTTAATTTAATATATTTATAGAATTTCAAATATTTATTCATCATCATCATGAAATTTACATCTAAATTATAAAATTAGCATTCATTTAAACCACAGTATGTCATTGACGGTTTGTAACACATTTAAATCCTATTAAAATACATCGATTGATTCAAACACAATGAAAAATATGAACAAATTTTAGTAGCAACTAAAACTGAGAATAGAGAACATTACGGAGAAATGAATTGAGAACAACTTACAATTGTAGATTGCAGAAACAACACAGAAACAAGTCCACAACAAATATTGGATCGATAAACAATGAGCACCTGAATAGATCGACAAAATACCTGGGTGAAGAACAATGACATTTCTTTTACTTCAATCTACAAAAACTTGGTGAAGAATAATGAGGGCCAAATGGGATCGATTTGGGTTAATCAATTTAGAGAGTTCAGGATTTCGAGGTGCAGACCGATTGAGAGAGAGGAGCCATTAAGGTTAATCGATTGAGACCCTGAATAGATTAAGGTTAATCGATTGAGAGAGAGTTGAGGATTGATGAACGTTAATCGACTGATTGGTTGGGGAGGATCCGATTGAGAAGGTGTGTTGTTGATAAGAGGCTGAAAGGGGTATGTTTACCCTATGTTCACAGGGCGTTTGGGATACGTTATATTATTGAATTATTTTCGATGCGATATAGAAAATAGAGGGATGTTATTCTACACCCTTTGTCATTTCTACACCCTATACAACCTTCATCTCAACCATTTAATTTTTAATCAATTAATTGTTTCCTAATATAAAGTATTAATCATAATTTATAAACTCTATTCATATTCCATAAATATTCAAATCATAATAAATGAACTCCAATCATTTCTATAAATATCTTAATTAATTGGGTTGCAAAGGTTGTACAAATGCACAATGTTGTAAAAGAAATATACCCATAGAAAATAAGCACCTTTAATTGTTTGAATAAATAACTTATATCAATGTCAAATCAATAATGATAAGTTTTTGAAAAAGTTAAACTTTTATGACTTCTAATAAATTGATAAATGCTTTTATAGAAAAGTGTAAGTTGTTTCAAATAAGCAATCTCAAACATCCATGGTCCAGTGCAACTCAATCTCTTATTAAAAAATCAACTTGTTCCTCCCAATACTGGTCAAAAATATTCGTAAAAGTGTCATTCCAATCTTAGGAAAAATGTATGGATGATATAAAAATTCCATGATCTTGAATGTTTTAAAAAATTGGGATGCTCATCCCATGATCAAGTGGAAACATTAAAGTGTTAGGTATCCCAATTATCATCTTCCATGCAACAACGGGATCCGAGGTCAAACGACAATAGTACGATAAATGATCTCTGCTACAAATTTCACAAAAAACAAATCCATACGACCCAAACGATTGACTCGTTGATGAATCCATGTTCATGAAAAGATAAGCTTAGAGATTTGTTGTTAGTACACACATGGAAATGTATGACAAACACCAAGAATGGTAGAAAAAATAGTTTTTCAAGAACTCGATCTCCCATAGCGAAAAATATACGCTTATCTCCGACAACGATACCAAAAACTTGTTTGTTACATCAACATAAACCCAAAATGTTGTGGTAATTGATTAAGCATGTAAGTATACATGTCCACCCGTTATCGTATTAAAAACACGTAATAAAATGATATCGTATTCCATAGGGATAGTTTCTTAGGTTGCGAGATCTCAAGATAAAAAAACTAATTTCAGATGGCGAAGTCGAATAAATTGGTTTGAATAAGTAACAACTGCAACTACAACTACAACTAACAACAAGAAAGTAAAAAAGCACGAGTATAAGATTTGGTTGGAGTTTCAGCACAAATGCAACAAAACTTTGCTACAACATAATATGAGGTTGCAACGATAGTTCTCAACATCACATTATTGGATTAAATGACCTTTTTTTCGAGGTGTCAGACACTCACTAGCAGTACCCTTATCGTATCAATAATTAGTACAAATCCAAGCATGGTACTATACTTATATTTCTTTCCATATATGCATGATTATATCAGTTGCTGCAACAAGTTGCAACATTCTACAACTCTTTACTTCTCTTTGTTAACATTGTCTTATTTATAAGCTCAACTCATCTTAATGAAATGACATGCGTCGTCTTGTCAATGATCATTTAGATGAAACATTAAGAAGTGAAGTGAATAGTGGAGTTGATAGCTATTGCGAAAGCAATTATGCCGACCAATTCGAGTCTTTTTAGAACAATGGAGATTTTTCCAACTGTTAAACTTTATGTTCCATGAGATTGGTTAGGCCTGTTCA